ATAAAATGAAATATTTAATAATTATAATTTATTAAAAATAAAAATAATTTCATTTTATTTTATTTCATATTATTTATTGTTTTTCATAACAAATATCAATTAATAAAAATAGAATGATGATAAAAGAATAAAAAAGAAGAAATTAAAATATAAAAATAAAAGAACTAATAAAAACAACTAATAAATAATAAATCAATAATGAAATTAGGATATAATGAAATAATGATAACATCAATGTATTTTAATGATATTAAAGATTTTATTAATTTAGAAATAGGAATTAAAAGATATAGAGGAAATATTGAACGATTTCATTTTAATCCAATTCCATTAAATGAATATTCAAGAAGATTCTTTCCTAATATTGAAACATTTCATATTTATAATGAAAATGATGAAATATTTAAAGATGGAAAAATATTTAAACAAGTAATATGGTATCAAGTAGATTATTTAACATATTTACAAGAGAAAAAAAAGGAAATATATATAAAAATATAGAATATACAAAATATGATAGAAATACATATGGAAATACAATACCATCAGAAGTTAAATCACTTGGATATGAATGTTTTAAATATTGTGATTCATTAACAACAATTAATATACCATCATCAATTAATAAATTAGGGATTTGGTGTTTTTATGGATGCACATCATTAAAATCAATTAATATTCCATCACCTAGTTAATAAAATAGGAACTAATTGTTTTTGTGAATGTTCATCATTAACATCAATTAATATAGAAAATCTACAATTTATTAGTGAAGAAAGAATATTTATGAACGAACCGGTGTTAATTAGTTGTGAAATACCAGATAATCTACAAATAATCAAATGGAAAGAATATTGAAAAGAAAGATATTAATGAATTTATTATTCCATCTTCAATTACTAAATTAGGATATGATTGTTTTAAAGAATGTACATCATTAACAACAAATTAATATACCATCATCAATTAATGAATTAGGAAATTGGTGTTTTAATGGATGTTCATCTATTAACAACAAATTAATATACCATCATCGAATTACATCATTTGGAAATTGTTGTTTTTATAAATGT